TCCTTTTCCTTTTTTTTGAACGGTAATATACGACTTATCATTAATTCAACTGTAAAATACAAGATGTTCAAGCAAAGACACAAAATTATATAAATGAAGTAACCAACAGAAAGAGAGTATGGACTCCTTCTTTGGCAAGAACATCGGCATCTTCATTTGACTCTCTATAACAATGTTGGACCGTTCACATAGAGGTTGACAAAATATCCCAAAGTTGATAAAACATAGTAGTTAATCTCCAAGGAATATGGGCCTTTCTATTACTCCAAGCAATGACATTTACCGAGTCTCATCCGATAATCCTGTCCCCTTCCAAAGTGAATAGCAATTTTAAACATTCTAATAAACCTCATACTTCTGTCGTATTTGCTGTTCTGATACCATAAGGACCCGAGTAAGAAAATATAATGTGACCCAAATTATTTCTGATGAGTCTACTATAACCAGCTGACACTGGATTGCCACGTGAGCTTCCTTCAAAATTAAGTTTGAATGAATTCACTAGTGGTGGTATCCAAACAACCTCACTACGAGTGTTGGTGTTAACACCCATAGTCGCCACAGCCAATGGATTACTAATGATAAGACTTTTAGGAATAAAGGCACTATCCTTATGTGCAAGGAACCGATCAGCTATAGCTTCCAAAATATTCGATTTTAATGTAGACAGATTTGTACTTATACTATCAAAGACTATTCTATTTCTTTCATTCCACACATTCCAAATAAGGCTAACCCAAATAGATCTCCAAAAAGTAATTCCCATATTTGAAATACCGAGTGTAATCCATTGGTCAAGAAGAGCCCTAACATTTCGGGGCAAAGGTAATGACAGATTGAGGTATTGTCGAGCCCAATCCCAAAGATATGTAATAAAAGGGCATAAGAGGAAATCTCAAATAACGCTATCAACCATATTTGGAATCAAATATGTGTCATTCAATAATTTTATCAATGTCTGATATTCCTCAATGAGTATATATGTACCTCTCCTATACTTGCAAAGAATGGACCAAACAATATTAGTATAAACACCACCACTAGCCTCCTTGACAGATACTAGAGAGTTTAAATCTTTTGAAAAAACCTCAGGGAAAAGGTATTTCAACGAGTCATCTCCAATCCATGTGTGAAACCAAAAGAGAGTAGATTCTGCATTCCGCACTATTTTTTGGAATTATCGTAGATACACATATCTCTCATAGTCAATACCTCTCCAAACATGGGACAAACTTATCTTACTTCTTAGACTTTTCATGAGGCCAAAGTTCCAATCAATTCCATATTTATCCTGCAGAACAAGCAACCAGAAAGACTCAGGTTGTATATGGATCCTCCACCACCATTTTACTAAAAGTGATGGGTTCATATCTTTCAGTTTTGTAATACCCAATTCTCCCTCTTTCATTGGTTTGCAAACATTTTTCAACTCACTCGATGAAATCTTTTCCTTCTTATGTCATCTCCCCACAAGAAATTTCTCATAATTCTCTCTAGTTGCTTTTCAACTTATTTTGGCATCTTAAATAAGGACATAAAATATATTGGGAGGTTGGATAAAGTGGATTTAATCAACATATATTTTCCCCCATATAAAGAGTTATAGCTTTTCAAGTGCCCAGTTTCTTGTCAAATATCTCCACCATCGGATCCCAAATTGATCTTGAAGACCTTGAATCCATTAAAGGAATTGTCGAATTTGTACAAGGTAAGGACTCAATCCTAAACAACCTAATAAATGTGTCATTATTGATACTACCATTTGTGGACAGCCAATACCAATGAGTTTGGTTTTACTCAAATTAACTTTAAGTCCAGTTGAGAGTTCCAAACTTTTCAAGAAAATCTATAGGCAAGTGATTTCTTTAACCATGGGGTCACAAAATATAATGGTATCGTCAACATGTTATAAATGTGATACTATAATACCATTATTACCAATATTAACATTTGGTATGATCATTTATATTGTCAACCCATTAAGCATGTCACTAAAGCTCTCAGCTACCAAAATATATAAAAATAGTGAAAGAGGGTCTCTTTATCTCAATCATCTTAATCCTTTAAAAAAAACGGTTGCTTTTGCCATTAACAAGAACTAAAAAATAGGTAGAAAACATGCAACCATCAATCCACAATCTCCACCTTAAATGAAAACCCAATTTAGCCTTGATGCTTTGTAGTAACCCCTAATTAACCTTATCATATGCATTCTCCAAGTCTAACTTAGAAATAATACCCTATTTGCCATCATTGATTATTGAGTGGATACATTCTTGTGCAACCAAAATAGTATCTATAATTTGCCTATCATTCAAGAATGCTGATTGTGGTCCTTTAATAACCATGTGAATCACCTGTTGCAGACTATTGGCTAAAATATTTGCTATGATTTTATATAGACTACCAATAAAACCTAATAAGCCAAATATATTTGATCTTCGCAATGACATTTTTCTTTGGAATTAAAGCAATAAAAGTGGAATTCATGGAATATCCCCAACAATAAAATTCTTCCAATAATTGAACAATATCATCTTTCAAAATATCCAAGAAAGATTGAAAAAAAGTCGTTGGGTATTCATCTGGGCGAAGAGTCTTATCTCTGCCTAGGCCAAAGATTGCATCTTTGATTTCTTGCTCTTCAAATTTTCTCTCCAACCATTGAGCTTGATCTAATGGCAACCTAGTAAATGGTAGATCTTGAATGGATAGTTGAAACCCATTATTGGCCTCATAAGAATTCTTGAAATAATCAACCAGTGCCCTTTCAAATTTTGACATGTTGTCACAGTCTATTCCTTCAATACGGAGGCTTTGAATTGAGTTTACCCATTTTACTTGCATTAGCAATAACATGAAAGAATATCGTGTTTTTATTTCCCTCGAGCCATTTCACACGAGATATTTGTCTCCAATGAATTTCCTCCAAATTAAGCAATTGTTTATATGTAGCCACTCATAAGCTTCTATCTCTGAATTGATCATGTGTTAGAGCATCTCTCATAAATTGAACATTCTCTAACTTCTCCATATGAGACTTTGCTGCCCTAATTTTAGATTTCAAATCTTTCTAAACATTCATCTTCCATGTAATAATCTTTTGTTTCAATAGTTGGAGTTTTTTTGAAATTTGAAAACCTTTTCAACTATCAATGACAATATTTTTCCAGAAATCTTCAATCAGGCTGAGTAAAGATTTCTCTGATGGCCCCACCAATTCAAATTTAAATGAGGATGTTCCAAACAAGAAACCGTCAAAGTTACGGAGAAGACGAATATGATCAGAATAAATTTTTGGTACGGTTTTCACACTTATTTTTGGGAAACGAGTAACAAACTCAGAAAAGACAAAAAATTTGTCCAACCTTATTAAAATAGGATCTTGTAAATAATGATTGAACCAGGTGTAGTTAACCTTAATAGAAGGAAGATCAATCAATTCATGGTGTTGTATAAAACCTTCAAACAATTTCATACAAGAAGACATAGAAGGAGAATATGTAGATTCACTTGGGCATCTAATAATATTAAAGTCACCACAAACAAACCAAGACATATTTAAATTTAATTGAATCTTTGCTAGTTTACCAAAAAAAGCAGATCAGTCAGCAACTCTGTTAGACCCATATACCACAGATAAACACCAAGAAAAATTATCTAAAGGCCCATGGAAAACAATGGAAATGTATCTATTTGAAAGAAAGTTTTGTGAAACACTTAAAACTAAAAGGTCCCAAATACCACTAAAAGAATCAGAAGCATCTACTTCCAAAAAATGCAGAGATTTATTTCTCCAAACCAATCTGGCAATACGAAGAGTCTGAGCCTCCAATTTAGTTTCCTGGAGAAGTAAATAGATCAGGTATTTTATTTCTACAAAAAGAAAGAACATCTCTTTTGCGTTGAGCACTATTGATACCCTTGACATTCGAACATAACATTTCATATAGACTGTTAACTATATCAGTGTTTTGTGACCCTTGAAGGACCAGCAAACATAGGCATCAAAGTTTCATAATGTACGTCATGATCATAGTTAATATGACATACTAAATTGTCATTTTTTCTTTGAAGCTTTCATTTATTATTAGATTTTTGAATTTTGCTCACAACAAGCCTTTCTTCTAATTCTTTTTTACGATCTTCCTAGTTCCAACTATGTACTTTTGAGCCTACCAATTACTCTTTTTAAGCTTTCCACTTCAACTAACTTGTACCTTATAACAAAATGTTATATTGAAGCCTGTAGTACACAAATAATATCACACTATAAAATCCTGGTAAAATTTTACCATTAAAATAGAGAAGAGGAGCTGCACTCCCGCATAAGACATAATTTGTTCACAAGAGCAAAACATGAGAGGAAGAGAGAGATTGTAAGTAGGACCACCGGCTAAAATATGTAGCGCCCAAGCCACAAACTGTTGTGGTGAAGCCCTATTTTTTATCTAGACCTTTTGTGTTTTTCATTATTTATTTGACCTGGTGTGACATGGCCCGGGACCAAATGGGGCAAGGGGCGGTCTGATGCGAGCCTTATGAGGAAGGGGTGGAGGGCAGGCTTGTACCCGTTACCAACCGCGCAGTTTGTACGCAACGATACGCTGACGTCGCCTAAATCTGAACCCCTCACTGCTCCTCTCTCTCTCTCTCTCTCTATCTTTCTCTCCGAGGAAACGAAGTAAGAGTAGTGAGATTTGCAGGGGCAAATCATTGAGTTTACATCACTTAGTCTGGAAAAAAAAATAAAAAAAATGAAGGGGTTTGGTCATATAAGCATTACAGAAAGGTTGGGTTGCACTGGCAACATCTCTCAAAAAATATCTTGAACAAAAGGGGGTGTAGGTCCCACATGGAACGGCAACAGGGTGGATTCATTTGGTCGAAATTTGGGTTTCATTTCATTTGGGAGAAGAAGAATCAACCAACCCCGGTTGCTCCACCTTGGTTTCTCTAACCCAATTGGTTAACCCACCTTGGTTTATTTATAGAAAGAGGGAGAGAGTAGAGTATCAGGGCCACCCTCATATAATACAAGCCCCAGTTGGCCCTTTCACTGGTTTTTCGTCTCTTTCTCTCTCCTCTCTCTTCCTCCCACAAAAGGAAGAGCAGGAAAAGGGTGGAACTGATAGTTCCCTCTTTCTCTCTCATGAAAAGGCGAATTGGGTGTGGAAGAATATTACTTTTCATGGAAGTTTTTCATGGTGGGTAGCAAAAAAACAGGGGTTAGAGACCTGCAGCTAGTTGCAGGTTGATGGGTTCAGAAGCTGGGGAAGAATTAGGAGAGAGAAAGAAAGATGGGGAGAAGGTGGGGATAGTGTTTGAGTGGAAGCCATGGGCCTGTAACTTCTTCTTGAACAGGAGTCCCAAACCATGGTTGATCTTTCCTGCTCCTTAAACAAATAGGCCAGGCGACTTGATCCCCTCAAGAGAAGAAGGTCCATACTTTCTCTCTCTTCTCTCTCTCTCTCTAAATATTGTTCTTGTTCGGTTATATTGAATTTATATTTGAGGGAAGAGACCATGAAGAGGATGGAGAGCTCGGATTCATTGGGTGCCTTGATTTCAATGTGTCCCTCTGCAGGTATTAATCATTCATAACTAACTTCAAAATGAATGTTTCCTTCTCTCTCTGTATGCATATATGAAACAAATGCTTATTGGTAGTTGCACCTGGTGTTATTGGTGCAAATTGGTTAAAATAAATAATTACAGTCAATTTCTTGGGACCTGCAATCCCTGTCTTTCCTCTCTTTGTTTCTTGTTATGGAAGGTATGAGAAAGAGATTTAATGTTAGTAAGTTACTGACGGTAAGTAGTGGATTTTGCTACTCCAGTTTTTATTTTCAGAGGACGTGGTTTTAGAGAGAGAGGGAGGCTTCATATAAACTAAGAGAAAATTAGAGATAGAGAGAGGGTGTGGTTTTTAGCGATGATATGTGATTTCGTTTTGTTTGTGTGGGTAAATTAGAGGAGAAGAATGGTGGTGGGGGTTACAGTAGCAGGGGATTTCAGAGCATATTGGATGGGTTTGAAGAGGAGGAGGAGTGTGGGCAAGCTTCGGAGAAGAAGCGGAGGCTCAGCGTCGATCAGGTGAAAGCTTTAGAGAAGAATTTCGAGGTGGAGAACAAGCTGGAGCCCGAGCGGAAGGCGAAGCTGGCTCAAGAGCTCGGCCTTCAGCCGAGGCAGGTGGCTGTTTGGTTCCAAAACAGAAGAGCCCGGTGGAAGACGAAGCAGCTCGAGAAAGATTACAACCTGCTCAAAGCCAACTACGACAATCTCAAAATCAACTTCGATAATGTTAAGAAAGACAAGGAAACTCTCATGGCTGAGGTAAGAGAGATTGTATAGAATCCATGAAACTTTAGAGAGAGAGTATGAAACTTTTAGAGAGTGATTGTTGACATGGGGTTTTTGGTGTTAAAACCAGCTGAGAGGTGTGAAGGAGAAAGTGGGCGGTAGAAAGAGCGGCGGTGGTGGTGGTAGCGGCGGAGGAGACGCCAATAAGGAGGCGTTTCCGGACCCGCAAGACGCGCTTGCACCCATTCCCACGAGCAAAGACACGGAGGATTTGAAGGGCCACACCATGGACGGCCAGGATCGCTCCACAGGCATATGCCCCGACCTGAAGGACGGCTCGGATAGCGACTCAAGTGCCATACTAAATGACGAAAATAGCCCTCTCCACCACCCCCAAAGCCACCACTATCATCGCCCCCAAACACTGCTCTCTTCTGTCTCTTCTTCTTCGGCTATAATAGCAGAGGCGGCGCCACCCACTTCACCGCCTCCGCCTCTTCCATTTTTATCTCTCCACCACCATCACAGCAACAACTACCACATCTTCTCTTCTTCATCCTCGTCTTCTTCTTCAACAAATGGAGGGGTCACTCGCTTTTACCCGTCTCCATTCGCGAGGATGGAGGAGCACAATTTCCTGAACGCCGACGAGTCCTCCTGCAACTTCTTTGCAGATGAACAGGCCCCCTCTCTTCCATGGTACTGTTCCGACCACTGGAATTGAGCCCACCTCTTTCTCTCTCTACAAAAACCCACTTTTCTACCCTTTTCCATTTGCTTTGTCCTCCTGCTAGAGAGAGAAAAGCTTCTCTGATTCCTAAGTGGGATTGGGTGCATGGGAATGGGTCCTTTCATCTTTTCCCTTCTCTCTTTCTTTCTTGAATTAAATTTTATTTTCTTGTTTAAACTCTGTAAAATGGAGATGCATGTAGTATATAACCAGCAAGCTTCAGCACTTTAGTAGTCAGTGTAAAAAGGTTTTTCATGTTAGAGAGAGAAACTCGAAAGGGGAGGAGCACGAAAGAGAGAGTGTGCAATGATATCAAATAAAAGAGAAAAAAAAAAGAGCAGCTGGGTCTCGTCAAACTACCCAGACTTTTCGTTTCTCCAAAAACGGCAACTTTTTTTTTTGCTGTTGTTTTTCTCTCTCTTTCTTGTTTTATCTCATGGGTCATTGTTGTGTGCAGAGATGAGAGAGAAAGAGGGGAGAGAGAGTAGAGAGCATAAAGGCTGCACATGGTTCTCGTAAGCGTGACGTCGGTGGATGTAGCCGGTGATTTTAAATGGAAACAAAACAAAAAAGAAAACCCTGTGAAGTAATTACTTTGGCACTTTCTTTCTTTAATCTTGCTGCTCAGTAACGGCGGTTGTTTCTTTTTTCTGTTTAAAAGATGTATGAATATAAAAGACGGAAAAAGTTTATATAAAGATGCTACCTTATAATGTAGAACCACTCAAAAATCCATCCGAAAAAGTAGTTTTAATGTTGAAAAATCTTTTGATTGATTATTTTTGTGGTGTGACAATGGAAAATGAAAAGACTTTAAATTTTAAAACTAGTGCATTTTACAATATATTATCAATACTGTCCATTTTCAAGATTTTCATATGTTTATAAATCTATTTGGTTTAAATTAGTTTTGAAATTTAAAATTTTATAATTATATATAAAAATAAATTTTAAGATAATTTTAAGAATATTTTATATCAAAATTATATATCATGATAAAATTTGAAGGTGCATATGACCTCTATAGCTACGGATGGTATGCCAATTGCACCTTTTTAAAATAATCCAAAAAGTTTTTGTACCAAAATTACATGAAATGATAAAATTTAGAGGTGCAGGATTGTTTAAGATTGCAACGTTAAATAAACCACACCCAAATTAAAAACATGTCAAATCTACTCCACCTTAGGGGAGTGTTTGGCATGTGCTTTCGGCTGTTTCCTGTGCGTGGATCAATTACGTCGCAGATAATTATTCCTTTAAAGACAATAAATCACCTATTCTTTTGTTCAAAATGATGGTGCTACCTGGTGAAACATTTTGTTCAGTGAGGCCTCGGATGCACCAACTGTGCTATTGCAAGTGGCCACCTTCTAAATTCTTTAATGGAAAACCTTGGGAGGTCTATCACGGTTTCTATGAGGCCAGCCTGCTTAGTGTAGAAATATTGGCTTGATAATAAATATATTTTTTAAATATAATTTGATTTCAAGTCATGAATACGAAAGACAAAAATTGAAAACTAGAATAATAATGTTATTAAGAAAACATTTGGACCATTAGTTACAATTGCTTTTAGATGGACCACCTATTTGCATTCATCTTTATAATGAATGCTTTATACCGCGGGATTGGATATTGTAAAAATACCATCCAGCCTGAATGACAACCATTTTTCAAAAATAAAAAAGGAAGAGACCATTTACCTTTGGTACAAGGTAGTTACAATTAATCTTGATCACTGGAGGTGAAGTTGGGTGGTTGCATTTATTTTATTGACCAAGCTTAAAGTTCGAATTTTTTTTTTCGAACTTTGTAACACACCCAAGCTATCAATTTTCACATCAGATGGTTGTAAGTAATTGCGACCTCACAGTATCAAAGGTAATTAGTATCATTGTATGCAATTCCAAATTAAAATTTTTGGTCCTAAATGATATCACCTTGTACCTTTTTTTTGGTTAATTTAGTGGGGATGATGAGCCCCTACCCGTTTTTTTGGAAATTGTTAGTAGTTTTCGAATGCGTTACGTGAGAATGGAAGTCTAGATCTTAGTTGGGGTACAAGTGATGCTACCACCATGACTTGAACCCTATTCTCAAGTGGTAAGTCAGTGGGGATTTGGGCCGCTACCCTTTGATGAGAATGGAGTCAGATACCTCACCATGAGGCTCAGCAATACTATCGCTAAGGCCCTAAGCCATTCTCCTTTGCACCTTTCCTTTAATAACAATTATTTCAATGAAAAGTGGTTTTATGTGTTGGGGATGCAGTATTATATGAATCGACAACTATGATTGTCCATGCTACAATGCCATGGCAAGCATTGTTCTATTTATTTATTTTTACATAACCTTTTTGGATGAAATGTTAGGCAATCCCATCATAAAATTAGGATGAACCGGAAAAAAAATATTTCTATAAAAATAAATAACCAAAATGGCCTTAAAATTTTTGTCACTAGAAATATTTTTTATTACTTTTATCAATTGCATCCTTGTTGAATCTATGCATGCCCCAAATTTTGTTTCAAAATGATTTATAGAATAAACATTAAAAATACAAATCTTTGAGGCATAGGATCAAGATCTGAGAGTTAAGAGCCAGCTTGTGACATTGTGAATTAAGCCATCTCAGCCACCTACTCAAATATGATGATTGAGATCAAAGGTCACATTTACTATATTATTCGGGTGGGGTCACACAGAAAGCTTTCTCCTAAGGGAAAAAATTAATGGTTCAAAAATTTTCTAAATAAATTATCATTTTTAGTATTTAAAATTTATTTTTTATTTCACATTTGTGATTCCCATGTTAGACATTATGCAACATCAGGTACAAAATACATCTTAAAAACGGATCATGAAATGGGGATGCGTACCTACATATGAGTTCTAGGACTCATGTCCTATTTGATGGACTCATAGAAAGTTTTTCAATTCTCCAGTGATTATTTTAACTAGATTACTTTTTGAGCTCTGAATTTATGGGCATAGCCTGAGGAAAGAATCAAACTTTTAGGATGTGTTTGCAGCCATAGGACCCTTGAAAATTAGTGTGGATGCATGTCACATAAAAGTTATGATTAGTATGCTCTTACTTTGGCTTTCTCCATTGGCCCATTTTGCGTAATTATTAACATTAAAGAATCATTAATATCAAAGAATTGCGATCCACATGAGCATACGGTATATATGGTCATGAGGTTTATTCATCTCCAATCAATGGGTTGGATGGTGATGTAGAGGGCCTTAAGTGAGGTCTTCAGATGCACCCCATTCTCTCCGAATTATGATGCATTTTTCCTTTCAAAATGGGGCCCGATCCCGATGCAGGCTCTATAATCTGCATCGTCTAATATAATCGAGTGATATTGGATGGTGCGGATCTCATGGCCTGTACAATCAAGAAAGGTACGTAATTCGCCAGCTCACAAGACTTTAGGTCAACTATATATGCAAGTAGTCTCTAGAGAAAGGTTGGCTTAAATGAACTGAGCACTCACCTTAAAACCAGTAAAGAATATGCCCTTAGTTGTGAATATATGAGGGGGTTTTGGCATGGTGCTCAGAGATGGGGGAGGGGGTGTGAATCCTTGATGAAATGAGCTGGTTTTATTTGATTCTACCTTTTCTTAAAGGGAAAAAGAGATGTGACATGCTGGTGGGACATGGTATGAAGAAGAGGGGGAAGAGGGAAAATAAGATTTTGCACATGGATGGACTGACTACTACTACTTACTCAAAACTACTAACTGTGTGAGATAGAGAGAAGGGGGGGCAGTTTTTGTGGGCCTTTTGAGTTTGTGTGTTTGTATAAGTTTATGGGGAATCTGTATTCCCCTTGCCCACTCTTTACTTTTTCATATAGCTTTGATAAGAGGTTGGTCCCCACCCTGTCCCATGTGGGACCATCCTTGACTTTATTAACAACTATAGGTGTAAGTGGTGGCCCTCTTTCTATTCTCTCTCTTTAAAAGCAAGCAAATGGTGAGAGTGGTGCCTTCTCAATTCTCTCTCTCTTCAACTCACTTTCTCTCTAAATTTTATGTAAGTTTGCTGTCGTAATATTTTAGATGACATGAGAATCTATTTTAATCTTTAATTATAAAATTTTAAACGTCCAAAATAGTTCAAACCAAGTAGATACATGGGTGTGGTTTCTATAAGGTTGCAAACTTAAACAGTCCAATTAAAGCACACCTCCAAATTTTATCATAACGTATAATTTTGTTGTAAAAATTTCTTAGGACTTTCTTAAAAACTATTTTGATATCTAATTACAAAATTTTAAACTTCAAAAATGGTTAAAATCAAGTAGATCTATAAACATATGGAAATCTTGAAAATGAACGGTCTAGATAATGTGTTTCAAGATGCACCATTTTAAGGACTAAAAAATCTTTTTGTTTTTTTTTTTAATATTCATATATCTCGATGTCGAGATGATCAATTAGAAGGTTTTTCAACATTAAAACAACATTTTTGATAGATTTTTGAGGTGCATATGTGATTCTATATTTTAAGGTTGCAATCAATATAAAATTTTCTCTTTATATAAGAAAATCTTGAAAATAGATGGTCCAGATAAGATGTACTATTTTTGAGATTCAAAATCTATTTTCTTTTATTTCCATACATCTTGATATCGAGATGACCTATTAGATGGTTTTCCAAAACAGCCTTTTTCAATGATTTTTGAAGTGCACCTTAATTCTACAGTTTAAGGTTGCAACCTTGTATAAACTTTTATTTAAATAAAGTCAAAATATTTTACATTTCTATTGGAGCATAACAACTTTAACTCATTTGGTTTGTATGAAAACTTGCATCATGAAACAATTTTCATATGAAACATGTGGTTACACATATTTAGTTCGTCCGTAAACCTGATGAAAACTTGTTCTATAGGAATTTGTTTTACCACCACAAAAAGCAAATCGTGTGAAAAGAAATCCCAATCACACAAGGTTGGGAGTAAGTTCCCGGGGATCCATTACTCGTGTGATTTAGAAAAAATATTTCATTCGAGTTTACTGCAAAGGGCTGAAACCAAAAAAAAAAACAAAAATTTACATCTCTCTCTTCCATCCACCATCTCTCTTTGTTTTGGAGCTGGTTTCTAGAGAATGAGTGGGTTTTTAGAGAGAGAAAGAGAGATTAGATTTATAGAGAGAGAATAAGTTTTTAAATAGAAGGAGAACTTGAGTTTGTAGAGAGATAATAGGTTTTTAAAGAGAGAAAGAGATGTTGGGTTTCTAAAGTGATAATGAGTTTTATAGAGAAAAAGAGAGGTAGGGTTTGTAAAGAGAGAGTGAGTTTTTAAAAAGAGAAAAAAAGATTGAATTTATAGAGAGAGAATAAGTTTTTAAAGAG